ACTGCGCATCGAAATAGAAACTGTCAAGCAAGACTTGCATATCCTGAGTGATTGTGTACATGATGCGTTTGGCTATGCACGAAAAATGTTGTATAGCTGACCACAGATTAGTTACAATAACAAAGCAATAAATAATGTTGCTACAGATAAGTGTCTTGTCCTTTCGTTATTCATCGTTACAGTGAGATTGTATGCAATTAATCACACGTGTAAACAAGCGGCAGGACTCTGATATCATTGTGTTACGATTTGAGTAGTCGCATGGTGTCCTGACTATAACCTCCCTTGCTCCAGCAAATTAACCGGACGTCACTCAACGGCAGAGGGATCATCCACCAGTACTACGCATGATCGGTCTGCGCGGGCTCTTTCCCTGGCCCTACCTGAAGCCGAACTGCGAGTCCGATACAGGCGATTGTGGACACAAACATCTTTCCTCGCCTGATGGCCGGCTCACCAATCCAGATCTAATCGAGAGGAGGCTATCCCACCAACCTGACCTTTGGCTCTCGTCATCTTGCGTCCCAACGGCGCCGCCATTAACATTTTATATCCAATCTTGCATTCAATCCACGTGAAAGGAAAACTTAATTTGTAATTACAAACGGGGCTTTATTGGCCACCAAGGGGAGGCCGAAATGCCGTAATCAAAGTGCAGTTTATTCACCGCTGACGTAAACCTCGGGGTTCATGTTTCCTGTTTGTATACAAATACTCGATTTTACGAGAATAGAAAGGTCTGGGTATAATATTGCAGCCAAATTTAAACTCTCTCTCTCTCAAAAAAGAGAGAGAGAAAAGAAATGTCGGCGAGAGGCACCGGTGCAAAGTAGAATGATTGTTTATAAATTTGATCTTTGTAATTGTTTATATTAGTACTAACGTTTCGGGTCATTTTCGCGCCTAGAAGCAATACAGGGATATGTTTCCATTTGGGTCATTATTGAAAGTCCCGGAAACAGGTGACCGAGGAAGAGAAAGCGTTCAAAGATTGGGTTGAATTCGTTCCTTGATGGTGCATATACTTCAGGACGGCACTGCTGGTGATCTTGGACAGCGAATGCCAGCTGTTTTAAAATACTGTCCATATGATGTTTCGCATTTTTTCAATCTGTCATGCGTCCGTGACAGCCACCAAGCTGAAAAGACCCAGGCTGTATGTACCTTTTTCGCAAACCTGGACCGCTAACCTATAGCACTAAGACAGAGACAAGAGTTTTTACATGCATTTTGCGTCTTTTACCTGAATTCCGAATTGCTCCGGAGCATTCAAGTACTGAAAAAATTTTAAAGCGTTTCGTGGGTTGTCACATTGCTACATAGAAAACGCGCAGTGTGACTGGCCTTTTAAATTCTGCCATAGTTTCTCAGGCTAGCAGGTTCCGCTTTAGTTTCTCGAGTAAGCAACGGCCTTGTTTAATACGAGAGAGCCCCCTGAACGCCTTGACCAATGGCTCATGTTATGCCTTACGGCTCCTCTCTAATCCCAGTCGCTGAACCATCAACCAGAACCATTGCCGCTGCCATGCGTCAGTTCCCTTATCCCCGTCTTTACCGTACCGACTCCTTTTGCTCTTTTTCTCTCTGCAACCATCACACCTTCCGGCCATCCCCCTCCGTGATTTCCCCCCCCCCAAAAAAAACCTTTTGTTCCCGCTTCTCCTCCGCTTCGTTGCCTTGCAGCGACTGCGGACTCTGTGCCCCGGCTCGGCCAATTCGCTAAGACCAAAAGTGTGTAGTGCAGATGTCCTAATGTAATATTGCACAGCCCGGCACCCGCTAATCGCCGACCAGTCGATATTGGTCGCCTCAAGCGGCCAGGTTTTATTCACCCTGTCAAGGCACAAGACGGTAACACCTCGGAGGCTTGAAGGCAAGACTTGCTGCTGAACCCTTCTGACACTCTTCACGCCTTTCAGGAAAGGCTTGTTTGTATATGGTCGTCTGTAGCTTGGTTCCACGCTGGCAACACAAGCAGCACCCCCGCCCCCGCAAAAACCTTTCTCTTGCTCAAAGCTGCATCCGGTGGAAGTTGCTTTTGCAACTGTGACAATCGGCTGGATGCAAAAGGGCTTGATTCATACGAGGGTAACAACCAGACATAGCACCATTGGCAGTAACGTACAAGTAGCTGACAAGGCTGGTTCTGTCGTGGTGTACATGAATGAACTCTGCACTTTGCTGAGAGGCTCCTCTATACTGAACCCTGACATTACAAGCTCTGTGGAGGTTGTCGAGCAAGGATTGCCGTTGTTGGGAAAAGCCCCATGTAAACATTCAACCTAGAATTAGTTTGCACAACACTAAATCGAGGAGAACATTATCACTTCCAAGTGATCATTATGAAGTTGATGAGAGAAAACCTCGTGTCAAATCGATGGTAAAAAGTTCAATATACAGCCCGTCTTCAAAAAGTCTACCCGGCACGGTGGAAAGGTGGTTGGCATACACGTCTCAGCAAACATCGAGTTCCTTCCTTTCCAACAGACTACTAACTTTGCAAAGAAAACTGAACGGGGACAACGTCTGCAACTGTGAAAGTCGGGATAGGTTAATACCAAACACTACGGACATGAAATTGTTACAGTCTTGGATACATGAAACACAGCTTTACCTGCAGGTACGATGACTTTCTCTCTCTTTTGTAGCTGATGTAAGAGGGAGAAATTTCAATGGTTGGATTTTATGCTAATCGAGATTTTCATATTCATGAGCCAAAGCGTGACCTCATTCGAGGCAAAACAGGAGTGGCTCCACAACTTTGTGTATTGTGGGTCACACTTCCCTACATTTTCTTGGAGTGGGTTCAATTTTAAACTAGATTTTTCTCATTAAACAGCTTTTTTGGACACATATAGTGGCCAGTATTTCTTGTTGGTGGGTGATTTTGAAGGATTGATTATTATACTGTTCTTATGCCCTTTTGACAAGGATTACCAATTTTTTTCCCAGACTTGAAAATCTGCGTTCTTTTCCCTTCCCATGAAAACACGTGTGTATATCTTGTTGGTACTGTTATTACACATGCAAGAAAACAGGTTGAGCTGAACACCCACTAAACGTTTCCTTTTAACTTTGCGTTGAGGTAAAGGTGATGGAATGGGCAGGTACCGTAACAATTACTGCTGTATCAAAATGCAAACGTTCGATACTGCTTACCATGCCTCCGGGAACCAGACAGAGACTGACACAAAGCGTGATGCAGCCCTAACGACCGATCTAACTCTACGTGATGAGTGCACCGTCGCGTGTGAGCCGTGTTTGTACTGATGCGGACCGGCTTAAAAATTTAATTACTTTCCTTTTGTGCCCAAAGTGTGAGTATGTTTCAGCGGTAATTTGCCACCCAATTTCACATTCTGTTAAAAACAGAGTAGGAGGAAGCCAAATGTGAACGCGTCATGCAATACAGGCGACGCTGTGCCAGAGGATATCACATTACAGCGTTTCATTTGAAACACAATGCCTATAGGCAGTAGATGATTTCCTAGCACGTTTAACAACTCAGTCTGGTTCTTAAGGTTCAGTTACCTCTGGATTATTTATGTAAAGCTCTGAATATATAACTATGAATATCGGCCTACAGCCGAGCCTGACAGCGTTGTCACTTGTCATGGGTGTAAATTTCTGATCACAGAAGCTTTTGCTTATCAGACCTTCGGTGGGCGTTATCATTATTGACAGTATTTGACACAACTGGATAGAATGCTTCTTGTAGGTTCAACAGTTGTAATTGGTTTAATGCCCAATCGATAACCAGAATTTCATCCTTCCACATGTGCACACAGCGAACGTCTGTCAATTTCATGTGTGTGATAAATTTTGTGCATCCCGAGTGACCTTTAGTTACCGTTAAGAGACGAATTCAAGGCTGTTGATTCGTCGGTTACAGTCAGCTGACTCGATCGCGTATACAGGCCACTCACTGGTATCAGTCTGGAAGTACATTAGTCCCTGTATCTGCACACGTATTACAGGCGATTATTACGTGAACGTCCATTAATTGACTATCTTATGGTGAACAGAAGAATACGGAAACGAAAGCTTCATATTTCAGCTCATGAATATTTTGAGATTCCTTCAGCAGCATTAAGCTGTTTTTAATTGCCTTTCAAGAGTAGAAGACCCACAAAAGTACATTCTTTGATGCTGATGTCTCACGAAATGAATACGACAATAAATTCCGCAGCACCATAAAAGGAGTATGGTTACATGGTAATTTTCACAAGAGAATTTCCCTCTCTGGAGTTTTCGCTTATTACATACAAGGAGCTTCACGACGCTGATCGATTTCATTTTCGTCGAAGTCCGGCACACCACTCGAAACTCATGAAACAGCAGCATTGGTTCATGCAGCTGTCTTCCGGGGAGCCTGACCACGAGCTCCCTAAAGTGCGGCTCCTCTCGCAATGTGGCATCGGTCAGTAGTTCTCAAGCGTCACTCAAGCATTCAGCTCTTGCATTTTTGTATCATCCGAATTGCTCCTAACAACCACGTTATATCAGTCACTCTTGATGACCAAGTTACTCTTGTAATGTTAAAGCAGAAAAGAAGTGCCTCTCATAAGAGGTAACTTTCATAGTAACGATAATAAAATAATATATGGTCGATTTCAGAGTCGACCCAAAATAAAATATCGTAGCCCCGAAATAAGAAATCAGCCACGTCGGCCACGAATTTAGTTTCCTTCCAAATATGTGAATTTTAATCTCAAATGTTGAATCCAGCACTTATGTTAGTTTGGTCAGTGAAAATACATTGAAAGTGTTGAATCCAACATCCAAAACACAATTTTAAAAAGTTGAAATGATACAATCTTATCGAACAGGTGTGCATTATCACATGCTTTCATCTCGTGATGACAATACTCCTCAAGAACAGATGTCGATATGTTAGGATAACTTATCGTCGGTCATACATCACACAAGTCTTTAGATCTACATTAGACACACTGAAAATGACACCTCCTTCTATCCAGTGGATTCTATAGGATACTCACCACTCCGACGTTTGACGGTCAGTGTGTGGTGCAATGCCGCCTGCAGGTTGCCAATCCGGATGTGCGCAATGATTGACGTCACTCCTACAGGGACGAGTGCAACAGCGGTGGACCAATCAGTGTGGTTTAGGCTATCAACCTGGGACTCCGTATGTGTGAATATATCTCCGTCTGGCGGAACCCATGGACCGCATATGCCGGTGCCGAGCTGTTCAAGCAAAAAGAGAAAATGCAAGCACTGAAAAATCACACGCTCTTTTCTGTCTATTTTTCTTTCCATATTGACAGAAAAACTTCCAGCGGGTGAGCTGAGCTAAACGGGGGCCTCTATTGATGGCACTTTTCTCTGAGTCTTCTGCGACACAAGACTACGTCCCTTGAGGCGCACAACTGTCCACAGCATGTTTTGCAGCTGCAATCCACATGTCAAAAGCTCCACCCTTCATTTCAGCGCAGAGGCATACGCAACCAACTTTTACAACCTAAACAGTGCAGTTCAACTCATCAAGAATTAAGGCTACGACTTTCCTGGTCTATTTTCTGTGGCAAAATTATTCCCTACTTTGACAGATTTTTATTACCAATGTGAAAATCGTCCATTGTGATTACGACGCCACTAAGTCAACTTCCTCTAATTCACATTCAAGAAAGGGATTGATTATAGAGGAACGGGTGATACTTGTAATTATGTGGTTTGACGAAAGAATTACCAGTTGTCATTACCAAAGTATCCTTGTGATCACAATATTAATGAGTAAATTTCGAAACAAATATCCCATTCGACAATTAAAGAAGTAATACAAACACCACACTGCAAGGTGTGATGTGCCATCAATAAAACAGCGTGAAGAGTGTCCAAGGTACGAAAAGTGCAGGTGGCAATAGCAACAGTACTCGATCATCGACGGCACTAAGACGCTCACATTAATCAGGATCTTGAAATTTTAAAACGCCATAAGGAATACGCTGGCAAACTCATAAGAAAGAAGTCGACAATCGAATTTCCGGGCGGAATTTGACTCGAATCCATGACGCGCTATCCAGGCGAGGATCGGTGGACGGCTATTGTTATTTTTTTAGGGGTCTAAACCTACTTCTAATGGTTGGAAGACCTCCAAAAGAGCATAAACTACGAAGGGGCCTTGTTTTGCGCGATCAGTTTAGGACAAAACAAAGAGATTGAATGGCCTCACCAAAGGCGACAAGTACACATTGTAACCCCCCTTGTACGAACGAAAATTTCCAAATTTAGCGAAAATCTCAACCATCCCTGTGCTCAGTCTAGAATAAGATTTACTTAAGAATAAAGCACGCGAATTTGCCAAGGACTGAATAAATCAAAAGGCTTAGTACTGGCACTACTCTACGCCTATCATTCTTCAAACAGATTACAATTTCAGGCGCTAAAGACCGAAACTTTAGTTAATCGTTTGGTGGTCACCGACTCAAAAACAAAACTGCGAACCAAAAATTTTTTTCTCAACCTTCTCCAAAACACAACCCCTCCAATAAGGAACTGAAACAATTCTCCCGCGGGGAAGACAGAACTGATTAGGCCTCCAGGCAAATTGATACACCGTAAACTGACTGGTACATCGCACTTAGACGGGGATATGGTGATATTCAGCTTTTCGTATCAAGATCTGATCGTCCCACGTGGCGAACATACAGAGTGGGAAATTCGCGCTCTCTCGGGCATATAAACGCTGTTGAATACTTTGGCCCGGCTTACCGCATGGACTCTTAAATTTAGAAATGTCGCACATCACGCCAATCTTGCATAATCGAAAGACGGCAATAGGGCTCACTAATAAGGAGTGAATTATACATTTTGCTCTCATTTGCAAAGTTAACATCACCGTGTTTATGGGAAGGCTGCATTGCATATCAAAACGAAGAAACTTCAAAGGCACCTTTCAGCTCTTTTTTCCCCAGCATTTATGAAGAGCGATTTTACCTCATTTAATCCTTTTTACTTGGGGAAAATTTCTTAAGAGCGTTTTTTTTTCCTTTGTAACTCCGACAGTTTAGCTGAAGTATACCAAACTAAAATTTAAAAGGTGCCCAAAGAGTGACATTCCTCTCCCGTACAAGCAGCTGGGCACTTCATTTTTTTGCTGTTTAACGTGCCATTTTGCATAGTAATATCAAGTCAATGTTCAGATATTACGTATACAAAAAACTTTGGAATATTATTTTTCCTTTCTTTGCCTGTCTCTCTGTGTGTGTTGCTGTTTCGTTGGAAAAATAACCTGATCCGCATGGGCTGTAAAAAATTTCCTCATGCGAAGCTAAAACGACATGATTGTCTCTTTTGATACGACTAAGCAAACACTGACAAACTGTTCTAAAAGCATTGAGGAGTTCGGTTACCAACAGCAGGAAAACACAGGCCATTTGATATTAGCGAGCCCCTAAGAGTTTTCCTGTCTACACAGTAGTGTATCGATGTTTGCATCATCCCACTGGAGCCAAACCCCTGGCGTCCCATCTCTCCCCTACCCCGCTGAATACTTCACTTCTCAAATGTCATCATAAAAGAAAACACAGCCGATTATCAGAGAGAAGAAAGAATCAATGCAAATTTGACATTCAGCTTTGAAAATCTAGTCAGTGGGTTATACATCCAAAGATACCCTACGGTGTGCACTGCAGGCCTTTGAATGTCGGAAAAGTACGCAACGTGCCTTAGTGAAGTTTCCACACCAGCCTACAACGACTACTTTGCTGCAACATTAAATTGTTTGAAAGTGTTCTCTTGATACGGCAAACAAACAGCAAAAAGCAATGACGTCCTTGACTTCAAGCCAATTCCTACTGACTAATGTTCCATGGAAATCCAACTGTTTGTTTAAATTCAACCTAGCAAGGCTTTGAGCTGTTATTGTGGTAGACGAAATTCCTGTACGTAGGACGCTTGGCCCTCTGCGGGTGGACAATGCTTGTGCACACTTGGTCTCCGGAAAATTAATTTAGTTAGATAAAGAGGGATAAGGCAGCAAAGGAAATTAACCAGAGGAATCAATTTTATCAAGTAACCAAACGATTCTGTAATAAGAGAAAAAACCGGCAGGATTTCACTAGGAAACGGAAGGTCTATGCTATATGCATTCGCTCTGTCACGCCGTTCACGCGATTACTTTCGAGAATTTGGTATTCAGTTATGCTTTTGACGCATTGCGTGCGGAGAAGCGATGATCGTTCCTTGACGCACACATTAAGTGAAAAGAAACAGAATTGACTGTAATCAAATCACAATTGATCATCGCTGCATAGATCTTCGTTGAGATAGGTAAAAGAAAGTCTTTCCTGAATCACTTCCTGAAAACTTCCTTCCTGAAAGACCGTGATAAAATATACATTCAAATGAAATAAATGACATTACATATTGATTGGATCGGAAAATAAAGAAATGCTATGCCCTCTGTTATCAAGTTTGGAATAGGCACATTCATAAAGAAGACCCGAAAATGCATTTGAAGCAAGATATGGGACGGAGAGAACCCCCCCCCCGCCTTTGTGTTGGTCATTGTTTGATCCGTCCCATATCTTGCCTGGTATACGAAACTGAACCATGGCTGCACCTTTTATGGAGTTTTTATAATATAAGGGAAGCACAATGTTTCCCCGGTGACAATTCGTATCATTAACGTTCACCTGTCACCCCAAACATCAGAAACATCAACGTAGAGTAACCGCCTTGCTACAAGTTTGGAATCGACGCAAAACTCAATTAGGAGAAAGGCCACGTCCATCATCATTCGATACGTTTGATTTTTTCCTTCAAAGAAAACTCAGCACAATGCTACTAGTCGGGTTGAATAGTCGCGCTGCTGAGCAGACTTTTTTCCAGAGCCATTCACGGGAGTTAGCATCAGTAGGCAATCCCATTCCTATGCACGTAGAAAATGATGACATGAAATACCGTGCTCTGTGACGAGTCTTAGAAAAAAGGTCTCGGAGGGATCTCGTCCTTTTCCAGTCTTGCCGTAGGACCTAGGAAAACGAAATTAATTTCCCAGGATGCAGAGAAAACTCGAAGGCAGTATCAATACAGGAGAATGACATGCACTAAGAGCATTCTTACTATACCGGATCTGATAAAGTTCATCTGTGGATTTTTACATATGGACAGAGTTCGTTTATTGAGACAGGACGCATCACAAGTACTCATCTTCTGCGGGGTCAAGAGTCACGCAGTGGCGTCTATTAAAGAAACATTTTCCCTCGAGTGGGTCTTTCACCGCAGCTTCAAATGCATCGCTGGCTGTGAAGTGAGTAAAATGAAACTACGACGACATGTCACGCGATGGTCGCTGAAAAAAGTTAGCGAACTCGCACACTAATAGGACGGACTCAAGCATTCACTGTAACCACGGCAACACTCCTGACGATTTTGATAACCCTTTCCCGCTCACTGCACTGCATCGGCCTTGGGAGTCAAGGAAAGCGTTAAAAGCTTCAAACGCACCCAAAATCAAGTGACAGTAAGGGGAAAAGGGACTGATGACCAAGCCTCACTATGTGATGCCCTCAAATTGATGGAAAAAAAGGAAGGTTTCGACATGTCTCGTAAGGAAGTTATACTTTCACGATTCGTTCCATCTTCTTTAGTCGCTCTTTTGCATTTCTCACGCAATTAAATTTGTGCATCAGGTTCCTCCTTTGTCTTATTTCTCCAAAACTTCACTTCTCAGCTTTGACAAATGCTGCAGCTTCACTGGCAAAACGTTGGGAAAGTTCATTTTCTGACACGGACAGGACTTCAAAGCACTCTATTCTTTTGCTTAGCTGGTCATGTTACGCCCCTCGTACTCACTCTCTGACTTTGAGCGCCCTTTTGTGATCTCCGACATGTTAAAAAAAACAGGAGGGGCTTTTTTTCTATCACAACCCTCATGCACAGTCGAGTGGACTATCGCTTGGAAACCATGACGCACTGACAAAGGGTTATTTTGGAAAGGACGGAGATTTTTTTATTACATGCACACTGTCTGCTCCTGTAATGAGTCTGCCCTTGGCTTTTTTGAGCTCGGCTGTTTTGACTTCCAACAGGTCGAAGATACCCGAAACAAATTAAGGCATGCAGAAAAACAGGTTACATTGAAGACGCGTACGGTAGCACACACATGCACATAGAGTATGTTGTCTTGGCACTCAGCCATCTTAATTAAACAGTCAGCTAATCTGGTTTAAAGGAGACATAAA